CTTTAAAATTTTTGAGGTTACGTAGGGGGGGGGGCTCTTGTTTTTCCAACTACTTTAACTAGCTATTTCCAGTTAATATGCGATACTGTATTTTGAATGTTTAGGTCTATTTAAAGACAATATTAAATAAAACTGATTAAGGAGTGACAGGTTATATTTTTTAATAGTCACTATCTTCATCCATTTCAAAGCTGTCAGACTCATCATCTCCAGGCTCTGTAATCTCGTCATCCACTTCAGAGCCATCTGAGAGTTCACTTTCAGACTCCAGGCTGGTCCTTTCCTCCTGACTCTTTACTGTGGTGGCCTTTTTGGCTGCTGCTCTTCTTGCCAGAAGTATATCTAAAAGTCTTTTTGCTTCTTCCATGTCATCAACTGTGCCTTGAGCAATCAAGAGGGGGACATTGGGATTTACGGTATGGCGGTATTAGCTTATTTTTCTTACGGTATTTCGGTATTTTCCTTGAAAAATTGCGGTATTCCGGTATTTGAAATGTTGCGGTAAAAGGTATTTGCAATTTTTGACTCAAAAACTGCGGTAATTGACAAAATTTGCTTGCGGTATTACGGTATTGAATACCCCCCAATGCCCCCCTCAATCAAGTATTCGATGGCTTTTATGTGGAATCTGGGTAGGAGCTGTATACTCCCCAGTTTTTGTGTGCTAACTTTTTGAGTGTTTCCTTTTATAAGAAAGGCATCAGCAAATTCTTTTCCATGTATTTTCAATATAAGCTTATAAGCTTGTTTCTTTCCCATGTTCGTTTGTTTTTGACGAGCTATTCTCCTTTGCTCCTTTCTTCTCCTGGTTATTCCCTTCCTTTCTTCTCCTGAAACTGTATCCTTATTGAAGCGGGCACTTGAAAGCTGCCAGGTGTTAGTGATGGAAGAGTGAAGACAAATGAGATTCTTGTTAAGCTTTTCAAGCTTTTCAAGATGCTGAGCAATATAGGAAATTTCATCGCCTGCCCACTGCTTAGGTACATGATTACAATCATACAGTTCATTATTACGCTCTTGCAACCTGTGCTTGATGGCACCCAATTTCTCCTCTAGCGAAGACAATTTGAACATGGTAGATTTGGCTCTCTCCACATCTATCGCCACGGGCCTTGAAGGAATTTCCTGGTACTTTTTGACGTTTAAATCAAAACCGTCATTTGTGTTGAACTTCAGTATTGTATCTAGCTGGGTAATATCCTTGTTTACCTGAAAATGGAGAGGTATGCAAGAAATGTAGTGAAAAGGACTGGGTTGGACCCAGGTTCTCCAGAGTTCCTGCTCCGTATCCAGATCCTGATAAGCCAGGGCATTATATGAGTGTTTTCAACACACCAACCACAGACAATAACGGGCAGATAACGGAAGTGGATGATGTCGCTCCCAGGGCAGTGATAAAGCGTCTTTATAAAGCTGGCACGATCTCATCGGACAATGTCGAACAACTTAAAGAAGTATCCAGTCGCTATTGTGTTGAAGAGAAGGATGTCGCATCATATGTTAAACACCTTGAAGAGTTGAAAATGATGGCTGCTATCAGGGAAAACGAAAGAAGAAAATAACGAGAAAAAGAGTGCAGCAAAACCTATGAGGACTACGATTGGAATACCCTCATTGATTCAGGAAAACTAAATTCATTAAAAGTGATGGAACTTGACAAGTGCCTTAAGAGACACGACCTGTCCACTATCGGAAAAAAAGAGGATAAAATCAAACGAATTAAAGCAGATTTCTACATAAATAGGACCAACGACGCAGCCATTGATGCAGAAACTTCAGATGATGATACTTTGTCAGGAGATGGTGAATCCGATTCTGACGATGATGAAGTACTTCAGATAATTCCAGAAGGCGATGAAGACGACAATTCAACTGAGGGAATGTCTGAGGATTCTGATGAAGAAATTGCAAATTTGCCAACGATACGCAGCAGAAGAGCAGCTAGTTTTCCACATGCAAGATACGAAGACTATTATGTAATTAACTAGTTAAAATCAGGATAACGCCCAGGTATCTTTAAGATTTTGGATGTAGTTATATATGCGTATTATTAAAATTGAGCAAAGGAAGAAGGGGGGCTCTTAATTTTTAGGGATACTTACAGGGGGGCTCACAAATTTCAGCACAATGTTGCGATGGGCTCCTAAAAAAATCTTGTAAGCAATACGAAATCTTCACTCCCCCCCTTGTCATATTAAATGAACATTCCCTAAACTAGTTATTATATCACAAAGTTATAGACTATAAAAGTATATATACCCTATTAAATCGTAGTAAAATAGAATCATCTATCAGATTCAGACTTACGTTTAAGATTCCTATTGCCTTAGACTTAGTATTGGTCAGTTGAGTATAAGTATCTAATTCTAAAAAGTTCTGACTTTATTTTTTTAAAATTTCCTATTGACTTCATATCATCGTCCAAACTGTTCCATAATTTAACTGCGCGGCAATGGAAAGTCTTTTGACCGGTACTTGTTTGAAATTTTGGAATGTCTGGATATTCTTGAATGCTTGCTCGTTGATAAAACTGTCGGCTGAAGTATGGGGGAGACAGCCGCTTCATAGATTTTGAACTTCATAGACTCAAGAACTTGTGACTTGTCAACTGTATGGGGGTAATATGGTCAAACTTGTGGGTATTTGTTATGATCCTTGCAGCAAAGTTAGTTTGGATAAGTTGTAGTTTATTCACGTTTTTGGCCGATGTATACTTAACAATAATACAACCGAGTAGTAGAATAATTTACTGAGTACCCGGCAGATTCAGAAGATGTCGAATTTTGTTGATTTGACAAGAGTGATAAAATTAGCTGCCTAATGTGGGTGTCGAATTTCAGATACGCGTCCAGGATCATTCCTTGATCTTTCGCTGACTGAAATATTAGATGTAAAGTTTCGCCCAAAACGACTAGCGTGAGTTCTTCACTTCAGAGATGTTGCTCGATCGGAGACGTAGCTCAGTAATTGTGCGGTCTCATAAAGAGCTTGGTTTGGTTATTCAAAGTGATCTAAAATGGAATGATCACATAGAGTCAATTGTATCCAAGACTTCTAAACGTTTATTGTATATCATCCACATAGTTACGGCGAGGTGGCGTTCCCGCGAATTAGGATTTATTGAGTATATCATTACTACGCCTTAATACGATCGGTTCTGGAGTACTGTTGCGTTGTATGGCACCATGTCTTACCTTTGTACCTCGCCGACGAGTTAGAACATAGACAATCCAAAAGACATTTTTGGATTGTCTATGGTTAGAGCGAGCTATAGTGCAAAAACGAGCGCTGAGGATTATTTACGGGGCTACTCTTATAGGGAAGCCTTAGCACGCGGCCTTGCATGGGTGTTCCAGATTGCATGAAAGGCTCTACAACTTTGCCCTCAATTGACTATGAAACGCATATAAAAAGGAGGCCGACCTCTGTCAAAGCTTTTCAAAGGCCGTCAACATATGTTTTATTGAGCACATTGACAACAATAAAACGTCGAACAGAAAGATATCGCGATAATTTTTTCCAGTACAGTAGCTTCATTAAATAACAGTACTAGTGAAGACATTTTTAAAAGTGTAATACTTAAATTAAATACGATTTTAGAAGTCGTGCAATAAGACTTTTAAATCTGATGCGATTTAAACGATATTTCAAGTGCTATTAACGATGATTCCACTGTACATGCTGTCATTCTGGACTTTGAAAAAGCGTTCGACAAAGTCCCACATCAACGCCTGTTGAGAAAATTACAAAGTTACGGAATACAAGGGCCCCTGAATAATTAGCTTGAATCATTTCTCACGGATCGTTATCAGACAGTTGTTTGTGAAGGGGAAGCAACCAAACCAACATCGGTAACCTCAGGCGTCCCACAAGGAACTGTTTTGGGACCGTTATTGTTCCTTTCGTACATCAACGATTTGCCAAATGCACTGAATTCTAGTGTTTGATTAGACAGATTTAGATCGAGGACGTCGACGTGAAGAGGACGTCAAATTGTCGCGCAAAGCCTGGGTCTAGGACGTCGTCCTGTATAATTTAAAAACAGACTTAGATGAATTTTTACGACGCCATGAAGGCTTGTAGAATTTTCTTTTGGAAAAATACATCTTTGCGTTGAAATACCCTACTTTATAAAACTTTTGTGAGCCCACTGAAAGATGAAGACTATGTAGAAGTGAATATAAAAGAAAAGCTTAAACTGCAAAGAGATTTGGACCGAATATGTAATGTTTACATTGTAATGATTGTATTTATTTACACGTCTCGTACGAAGACTTTGTGCAGGACGCTTGCCAGACATGTTCTTTTAACATTTCCTTTAAAACTTTTATACTATTTTTTTAAATATAAATTTTAGACGTTAAATGTCGTGTTGCTGGCGTGATATTAGTTGTAGTATTTTTTGTAGAGATTTTAGCTAGCCCAAAAGTACATAGGTTCAATTCATTGTGGCAAAAAAATCTAAAATGTCGCATGGTTTACAATCTGTTCGTGATGCTATAATTCTTGCTCGAGCAGGCCAGTATATTTCTGATGCCGAGTTCATTTTACTTTTCGATTACAACTGGTCAAAACCATTGTTCCCATATTGGAAATTTGATGAATTTAATATGGATACTTGGGATAATGAAGAATGCAGAACTGAATTACGGTTTGCCAAGGGAGATCTGCCTGTGTTAAAAGCTGTATTAGGAGTTCCAGATAAAATCACCTGTCAACAAGGGACAACATGTTCAGGAGACGAAGCACTCTGTATTTTGTTGAAACGGTTTGCATACCCATGTAGATACTCGGATATGGTGAGCAGATTTGGTAGAAATCCTTCAGAGCTATGTTTGATTTTTAATGAAGGGTTGGATTTTTTGTATGAGCGACATCACCATCGCCTTCAAAGTTGGAATCAGCCATTTTTGTCACCAGAAATCCTTCAAATTTATGCTGATGCCATTCACAACAAGGGTGCCCCACTGAATAACTGCTTTGGGTTTGTTGATGGTACTGTTCGACAAATTGCGCGGCCAAAGTATCACCAAAGAGTTATGTATAATGGTCATAAAAGAGTCCATTCAATTAAGTTTCAAAGTGTTGTTCTACCTAATGGTCTCATTGGAAACCTTGCTGGTCCCTATGAAGGTAAACGACATGACAGTATGATGCTCCAAGAATCTGGTCTCTTAACAAACCTACGACAGATTGCCTTCTACAACAACAACCCCCTTTGCATATATGGTGATCCTGCTTATCCACTGGGTGTTCATTTGCAAGCACCTTTCAGGGAAAGAGAGCTTACACCGGCAATGGCAGAGTTCAACAGGGAGATGAGCCGGGTTCGAGTCTCTGTCGAGTGGATGTTTGGAAATATTACTAAGTATTTCAGCTTTCTGGACTTTAAAAGGCAAATGAAATTGCATCTGAGTCCTGTTGGAAAAATCTACACTGTGGCAGCATTGTTGCAGAATGCTCATACCTGCTTGTATGAGAACATTGTATCTCATTTTTTTTATCTGAAGTCTCCTTCAATCCATGAATATTTCTGGTAATACACATTCACTTAGTCTTAGTTGTGAATTTTAAAAAAATGCCATGAGCTACCTTGAATAAATTATTGCAGGAAATAAATTTGCATGGTAGTATAGCAGGTCAAATTGCAATGGGCTATTCCAATTATTATCCGCATCCCCCTTGTTGAGGAACCTTGGAATTTCCAGGGGAGGGGATGCATTAACCTTGGAATTTCCAGGGGAGAGGGTGCATTAACCTTGGAATTTCAAGGGGAGAGGTGCATTAACTTTAAATTTCCATGGGAGGGGGTACATTAACCCTGGAATTTCCAGGGAAAGGGCATTCAGGCTCTGGAATTCCAAGGGGAGGAGTAATTCTCACATGAAATTTCCAGCGGGAGGGGTAAATTTTACATGAAAATTTGCAGAAATTCCAGGGGAGTACGGATAATAATTGGAATACCCTAATGCCTAGCTTTGCCGCAAGTCTAACGCCAGATGATTTAATTGTTGATTGGAGAGTTATGCAGCTTAATGGTCAAGACTCAAGTATCAATTTGTTTAGAAAATTCTTGGTAACCTTGGCACCTTAAAATTGAATCACCAAAAACATTCTGTTTTAATAAAACAGATATTTAATGTTGTATTTTAATTACACACAACTTAATCAGGTTATTCAACTGCTATAGAAACAATAATTTTATAAGAAATATATTAATTGATGAACATTGTTAACTATTCAAATAATAGTATAAAGTCCAGTTTAAAGTTATAAATAGTTGTTATAATGTTTCAGCATTAACTGTAAATGTGAAAATTACTTATAATGTCTAATAATTATAATTTTTTCTCCAACAAATTTACCAACACATTTGTTTGCTGTTGCTGTTGTTGCATGATAGCAATCATTTGCTGCTGTAGAAAGTTAAATTCTTGTTGATGCTGTTGATGTTGTTGTTGTTGTTGCTGCAATTGTTGCTGCACGAACTAGTCAGACAGCTTCATCTGCATCGCAAACTGCTGTTGTGTCTGGTGCATAGCTTGCGTCATCTCTTCTTGCTGGACTCTCTGAACTTCACGGTAGTCTCTTTCTTCTTCCCGTTTTGCCTTTTTATCTTCTTTCTCCAACTCTACCCTTTCTTGCAACCATTTCATCATGTCTCCTGACCTTCTCCTCTTTTGTCCTCTTCCTAGTTTGTCCAAGTGTCTCCATTGCCCGTTCTCTCATCTCCAGTGCCTGACCTCGCTCTTGTTCAATCCTTTGTTGGTTTTCTTCATTTTCATTTTCAACCTGTCTTTCCATCTCCCCTTCAATATGGATCAATTCCTCCAACAAACTTTCAGCCTCTGTCAGTTCAGCACCACCTTCACCCGTTGATCTTTCTTCTTGTGCCATTCTTGCCCTATACTTTTTTGCCATCACATTGTAGTGATCTCTGATTGCCCGTGATGTGACTCCTTGCCCTAGTGCAGTGATGTTATCGGAAATTCTTTGCCACTGCATACCACGCTCTCTGGACCGGGGTTTATTTGACATAACACCTTCTGCTGCAATTTCTTTCAGTAGGATTAGCTCTTTTGCCTTTGACCATACCATGCTAGAAACAGTGAATATAAATGTAAACAAACTATATCAATTTTTCTGGAATCACAAGGCTATGGATTCGATTTTTTAATACCACAGAACCTAGTGTTGCATTTTCTGCAATCGTTCCTGGTCAGGTCTTAAATTGCGAATGTACTCACTTGGATTATAAACCCAACACACCATACTAGTTCTACACACCAAGTGAAGTCATCATTCATTCAAGTGTTTAATACTCTACCATTGTTGAAGTTAGTTTGATTGGTTTACCTTTTCTTCGGAGATTTCTTGTTCTCTTCCAGTTGTAAAACAGACATCGCTGTCCCTAAAAAGATAACAAAAAACATTGCACTATTTTATTACTACAGTATATACTTTCAATATTGTACTTTATAAATACAGCAATACAAATAACAAAATAAAAAGTAAATAAAATCGATTGAATATCAACTATAAAACGATTGCCCATAAAACGATATATCAAATAATAAAATGCAAGTTTAAAAGTTAGATAAGTAATGTCGTTCTTATCGGCATCAAACTACACAATATGTTGTTTCTTGTTGTGTTTGTTTTGAGACACGATCAGCCATATTCCGTAAAGCCGGAAACAAATTTGGTGCGTCTTACTATGTTAATTATGCGCATATTAAACATCATACGTTCATATTATTTCGAAAATAGAGAAAAATAATAGATTACCAACATCACTGATGCAAGTTTTATCATGTACATACCTTTTTCGTCTTTAAAAAATCAAGAAAAAACTGACGTCCTAAACACAACGTGAAAAATTGACTTTGACGTCCTGAAAAGTGCTAAGACGACGTCGCCATCGATGACAACGCCACATTTTCGCGGCATATGACGCCATCCCGCGTCCTCTTCACGTCGACGTCCTCGATCTAAATCTGTCTAATAGACAGATTGTTTGCGGACAACGCGCTTTTGTACGGCCTAATTAAACTCGGGAAGCTCAAACAGTGATGAATTGCAGGACGATCTTAGCAAGTTGGAACACTGGCAAAAGAAATGGCAAATGAAGTTCAATCCAGGGAAATGTAAAGTGTTATGCATATAAACAAAAAAAGACCCTCCGCAAAGGAAATATTCTTTCTGTAACACAGAGTTGGAGCAAGTCGAGTCGGTCGCTTACCTGGGCATCACCCGGCTCATAACCTTTAATTTTGCGTTTCTACATGGTATTGTCGTGAAGAGTATTCGACCGCCGCGTGAACCAAAACTATGCAAAGATAATCCAGTATGGAACCATCCTCAGAGATAAGAAAAACTAGTTTAATATTAATTAGGCACTGCAATCGACCAAGGAAAAATTCGTTGGCTCGAGCGAGATTTGATCTCGCATCTCCGGGTATCTAGACAGCCGCTCTACCTATTGCGCTGTCAAGTCAATAATCCAGTATGGGATTTCGGAGATAATCTTTTCATAACATCCACTCCCCTCTACAGGCATCTCTATGCATGCGTTTAGCCTAGTTTGGAAATCCTCCCCAATCCTCCCGATTCCCTAGAGACACCTGCCCCGGAGACTACAGCCAGTGAGCTCCATATGTTCATTCTTCCCCGTCAACGTTGATATGACAGAAGCTATGAACTCAACGTCCGATGGTGATGAGAAAAATTGTGAACAATCTAACAAAAGTAACCTCAGCTCAATTAACACTGAATTACTTAATACCTCTCATGACAATAGTCTTGCTCGGCATAATAACGACGGACAATGCAATGCCGATGATTTGAATAATAATCAAACTGACCTTGCAAATGATGATGCTGTGTTTTCCTCAAAACAGCAGAATGAAAATAATACACACAAAGGCATAAATTCGAACTTGCAATCCGAATCGCAGCAGTCAACCAACATAGAAGGGAATAAACTTAGATATGATCTGTCCCCAAAAACCTCTCATGACAATAGCCTTATTCGACATAATGACAACAGCCAATGCAATGCCGACGATTTGAAGAATAATCACATTGACCGTACAAATGATGATGCCGTGCTCTTCCCAAAACAGCAGAATAAAAATAATAAACACAAAGGCTTAAATTCGAACTTGAAATCGGTATCGCAGCAGTCAATTAACAGCGAAAGGGAAAAACCCAAATACAATCCGTCTCTAAAAACCTCTGTCCCGTGCCCTTTTCTCATACGCCGTGGTAGATGTTTTAAAGGCGACCGATGCGACTTTAAACACCCAAAACCATCTGAAACACGGAAGTGCAATATACCATGTCCTTTTCTGCATAAAAGAGGGTACTGTCTGAAGAAAGAGATGTGTGATTTTTCCCACGACAAATTGATACGTAACTCATCCCCCATGCCCTATCCAGGCAATTATGCTTCTCCTGATTTTTTATCACACCGATTCACCAACCCATTTCCGCCGTACCAGAATTATTATTACCGAGAACCTTGGAGAAATCTCCGCCCATTGAATCCTTTAATGGAAATTCCAACCCCTATATGGTCACAATATCCAAATCCCTATTCTCCAGCCATACAGCCCCCAATGAGTTACCCAAATCAGTACCCTTCACCCCTGATGACGAATTACACAAGACCGCCCAGGCGTTGACAGGTGATTACGATTCATCCAAGTTTGTTTGTCCCTTCCTTAACAATTGTACCCATAAGATACCCGATACCGAACTAAATAAGATACCCGTCAGAATTACTCCACGCACAAGACAGCACAGTTATATAAAATCTCTTAGGCATTGCAGCACTTTGAGACCTATACAAGTGAATAAAACTGCCCCGAGTCAACCACGCTTAATTCCATGTTGCTCAGTGTTGAACGCCAGATCTATTGCAAAACCTGATGCTTTTCCTGCTTTGTGCGCAGACATTAAGTGCAATAACATAGATGTTTGTTGTATAACCGAAACATGGCTCAAACCGACTATACCTAGCTCCCTCGTTTGTCCTCCCAATTTTTCGATCATTAGAAAGGATAGAACAAACTGTGGAGGAGGAGGTGTCGCGATCTTATGCAGGAATGACTGGAGAATGCAGCTACTACCTGATTTGGATAATCCATTCGAATGTTTATGGACAAAAATTATTACACAAAACTCTGAATTCTTTGTTGCAACTATTTACCACCCACCTAACTATGAGTATAATGAGCAAGACCTTATCGAATTCCTTATTGACTCGTGCGAACAACTATTGTTATCTAAACCGAATTCAAATATAATAATTGCTGGTGACATTAACAATTTAAATATTCGATCTGTTCTTAATCAACTTCCATTTACCCAACTCGTTAAGACCCCTACGAGAGGGTTAAAAATATTAGATGTCTTTATTACAAATGTCCCAAACTATTGGAAATCTGTTAAAGTTGTAAAAAGCTTGGTGAGATCCGACCATGATATGGTTATCACATACCCCCGAAACATAGTTAAAGCAACAAGGACAAATTCCTATTTCAGAGATGTGAGACAACATCATCAATTGAATATGCTTCGTGAACTTGAATCTATTGATTGGAACACGATAATTATGAATAGCCATAACCTAGATGAGTTAACCCTAAAATTTTATGAAATAATATGGCCAAAATTCGATAAGAGCTTCCCACTAATTAAGGTCAGAACGTCATCACGCGACCCTCCGTTCATGTCTCCTCTTGTGAACCACCTTCTGAATCAAAGGAAAAGAGCCATACAAAACGGAAATACTGAAGCAAATACACGATTGCAAGAAAAAATCAACAAGTTAATTCGGGAAAATCAATTAAGTGCAGTCAAACAGGAGTTTGGCAACCAGAAAACTGGATCGAAAAGTTGGTGGTCTAACGTAAATAGCATTACATCGAGAAAAAAGAAACATGATGTATCTGTAAGTGCTTCTCTTAACCCTATTGAAATTAACAAATATTTTCAAAGTGTGAATACAGACCCAAATTATACGACTCCCGAGCCTCTTCAAATCTCCGAAGGAACAAGAATTCCCTCGTTGTCAATTCATGAAGTTCAACATCTTTTACGCAATCAAAAACGCTCTTCATCGGGTCCGGACAATCTGCCATATTGGTTTTGGAAATCGTTTGCTATTGAATTAGCTCCTATTGTCACAGAAATTTTTAACATGTCACTAAAAACCAGCAAAGTACCTCAGAAATGGAAATCCGCTAATTTATTACCACTCCCTAAAGAATCACCATTAAATTCGTGCAACCAGTTAAGACCAATCTCTCTGACGGACATCATCATGAGACTATTCGAGAAGTGCGTGTATAAATCTGAAATCGAACCTATCACAAGAAATAACATTGGTCCTGACCAATTTGCTTATAAAAAGGGTCACAACTCGACTATGGCTCTGATTAAATCCCAACATCAATGGCTAGAGTGGCTGGATAAAAACGCTAATTATGTTAGAGTGCTGTCGTTCGATTTCAGCAAAGCATTTGACAGTGTGCCCCACGATCTTTTGTTTGAAAAAGTTAAAAAGCTACCAATTAATCCGTATGTGGTGAACTGGTTAATTAGTTTTCTAGAAAATAGAATACAAAGAGTAATGGTTGATGGAATGGTTACAGAATATTTATATATTAATCGTGGTGTTCCTCAAGGTACTGTTTTAGGCCCAGTTCTTTTCTCAATAATGGTTGATGATATTAAAACTGCTGATCCCAGTAATGCGTTAGTCAAATTTGCTGACGATTTGACGTTAGGAGTGCCTGGCAACGAAAGTGGTGACACATCTCGATCTGAAGCTGCCTGTTTACAGGATTGGGCGGAAGAGAATAGAATGCCCTTAAACTTGGAAAAAACGTACGAAATGGTTGTTCGCAGACACACCTCTGTAGTTTTGCCTTAGCTTATCCCTTCAATTAAGCGAAAAACATGGCTAAAGCTTTTTGGAATTACTCTACAAGATAATCCGTGCAACTGGGATTTGCACTTCGAAGAAATGCTCAAAAAAGAAAGTGGTAGAATGTACATTATGAGAGTTTGCAAATACTATGGACTATCAATTAAACAATTAGATCTGCTGTTTGGTAACCTAATTATGTCCATATTTACTTTTGCTATTGAGCTGTGGGGTTGTGCATATGACGGTAA